GAAAGGACATGGAAGAGGAAGGAAAGATCGCGCGCCGTTTGTGGCCCATTTATTAGGACACTGCTCCGGCATTTGCCTGGTATAGACTCGTGGGTCAGCGCAGTAGAATGTAGTTCATAATGTATTTCTTAAATCACTAGTCCCGAGCGCTGAACTGATCTTGTATGTAATGCCGATTGAGTTGAGCCGACTTTCTCCAAAATTGGTATTCCTCGATCGATTTAATAAATGCTAGGACCCCTGAGTTCGAAAAGGATATCTGCAATTTTCCGGTTGCATTATATGAAGCTTCAACATTTTCTATATTTTTTCAAAAATGGCTTCAAATGTTTTGATTAAAGTTTGCCTTCCGATAGCGTAAAGGACGCTTAAAAATTGATATAGATTTCATTTTTGTTGAAATAATTATTTTTTGAAAATTGTGAAAGTTCAATTGGTATTTTTCTTATATTTAAATATGTTTTTTAAACATATCTTGGAATAATGTCATTCACAATTTTTGGAAAATACTAGTAGTTTTCGCGTAATTTTGCGTGAAGGAATGGCAATTTTTAAGTTATTTCCTCAAAACAAAAACAAAACTCCTAATTTGTTTCTTAAAATGTTCTTCTCGTATGTATCAATGAACGGTACAAAAAGTGGTGCAGGTCTAATTTCCGGAGAACACAGAGTATTTTTTTTTAATTTGCAGAAAGTTAACATTCCAAAACTACAAAATTGAGGATAGAGATTTTTATTATATATAAATAAACTATTTTATATTACAAAACACCAAATTTGTTTTTTTAGACACGGATAGTACATACGACTAAATGATTGGAGAAGGTCTCATTTTTGTTGAAATTTCTGAATTTCCAAAAATTGCAAGTATAGAAATAATGGGAGAAGGTGTGAGCCATTGTATTACCTTTAGTTACTACTTGTAGACAAGACACTAGGATATATTATACTGATATTCGTTATTCCCAACACAGACTACCCCAAAAATATTATTCGAGAATTTCCTTCTTTACGTTTTTGATCCCTAGAAGTTTTGCCTGGCTCTAAATAAGCGAATTTGTTATCGATCTCTTGAGAATCTACAGAAAGTGATGAGATGACATTTTCAGTAAGTATAAAATCTTACTAACTCCATCGAAGAAGGTGGTGGGAAAGTATTGTCCCAGAGATTCATAAAGGGCAGTCATAAGTTCACCTTAAGATTTTATATCAACTTTTTGACAAATAATGATTCAGATCGTGAATGGATCTATTTTTCTAACCATAAGTAACAAAGTCTGTTTTTAAATAATGCTCTAACTTTCACCATTTTGAAATCGAAGAATAATCAATTTTTTTTTTTTTTTTGAAAATATCATTGAAAAAAATTTCACTTTATGGATTACTTTTGGGACTTTTGTGCAGTATTTTCAATTTAAAATACTTCGCGACCTCCCGTGTTTTAACTCGGCCCTTCATTAATATTCGTTCCTTCGTGTCGTTGCGTGGAAATACTCATGAACGTACGCAGAAGTGAGTGCATCTGCCCAGAGAAGTTGTGTATGCGGGAGCCCAGCGCGAGGAGGTGCTTATCATCTTCGGGTGGCTCATACAGCACGTTGTGTCTCCATCGCAATATGCATTTGTTCGTCTGCAAACAGAAGCGAGAGCTGCTAAGATAGCAGAATCAGAAAGGCGTTGTGTATGCCGTAGCTTCATGGGTGGGCATGGCATGTTGACACTTCTCCCCTTGAAGACTAAACATTACATTTAAAAATGTAAAATGGACTTAATTGTTTAAGTACTTAACACGTATAAAGGGCAATAACTTTTCGTGGTATGTTTGTTGAATAAATTCATTGCAAAATTGAACACTCAAAATCTGCTCCAAATTTTTTTATTCTTAATATGAGTGCTTATCTTATACATTGAAATTGGTTTTACATTTTTATCACCATTTTTAATTTTTCGTGGATTTCCCTGTAAGAATAAATAGGTGCTACAAAACTGCACAATCTTTCTCGTACTAGCTACTTCACTCCGTTTTGAGCCAGGGCTATTTTCAAGGTTGGCCCCGCTCCCTTTACGGCTATATTTTTCTGGACTAAGCAGTTCCCCCGACCATAACTGCCGCTCTCCCGGAGGAGGCAATTGTCAGCGTAGAATCCTCGTCGTCTCTCCATTCCCGAACATCTCCTCGAGAAGCCCTTTGGCCCGTTTAGGGCCTGTATCTTTGCATCTGGGTGCTTATGTATAAGAAATAATAGTATAATAGTATTGTTCTGGGTATAGGGAGCTAATCGCTCATTATTAGGAAGTATGTGCCATTTTCTAGCATCACTACTTACTTTTTGGTGTACATAAGTATATACAAAGTATTGTACGTAGTACAAAGAAAGTTTTTTAATGCTGCGGAAAATGGATTTCTTGATTTCAACGGCAATAACCTCGTTTTTCAGTCCCGAGACGCATATGAACAACACTGGCACCTACACTATTTGTAGGATTTTTTCCAAAATAAATATTCCCCGGTCGATCTGGCCCGACTCGAGCTCTGCAATTTTGAGAAACTTTCTTTAAACATTGGGGATAGTTTATACGAAGCACTGGAGGCATTTTCAAAATTATCTCATTCATTATCATTTTCAAGATTATTTTAGAATTTACAGCAACTGAAGCAGGGCAAGGTTCATTGGGAAGTATTTATTTTGGGTAATATCCCCTGTTTGTTTGGGGAACTACTGTTCATTGACGCACTAGCGTTTGAAAAAAATCACCTTTTCAATATCAAGGACCTCCAAAACGTTTTTCTGTCAAACTCTTGACTTCAAATCTTTGCCGAATTGTCTTTATTTCTCTGTACTACAATTATACCCTGTATACTTGGCATACGAGAAAGTAAACCTACGAAAATTGTTTTTTATTTACATACCTTTAGCGCCATCCTTAAGCCATGCCATGCTATGAATGAATTGCGAAATAGTTTTTTGACTTATTGCCTTTTAACTCCACCGTAAGATTTGAAGAATTTATTTAGTCGCCACAAAGATCAGGTCTCTCAGCGTCTCACTGTTCTCACTTTTTAGGCGATTTTCGTTTTACCGTCTATTATTTCACTTTTCCCCACATCTTATAATTTTTTAAAATTTTTTTTATAGAAATTTAATTTATAATTTAATTTTGATATATAATCTTGTGAGCAACAGCATATACATTTTCGCATAATTTGCAATGGGTACTCAATATTATAATACTTCACAATTCTACACAAATGTGTTTTCCAAGCAGCAAACATATTTTCTCCGCGCTGAGATTCGAATTTGGGATCTTAGAATTAACGGTTTAGGCGCTAGCGTTGACCACAGACGGATATTCGGACGTTTTACCGTCAACAAGTGTTTCGATGTTGCGGACTCCACGTGTTTCCACGAACAAAACGTGTCCACGGACAAAACGTGTTTTCCAGCTAGACAATGTGTTAGAGGAAGAAATGTCCTACTAACGGTCTTTGATGATATATAAAAAGCAAAAAATTGAATTTTTATTTACGAGACTTTGATTTCCTAATGTTTATATTGGTAAATTGTGAAGTATATTATACACAATAACAGTGCAACTTCCTTCTGGGAACTAACAATTTATATCTTATAATTGATACTTTAGAAAATTTAAACAACAAACAATTTTCGAAGATTCCTGACTTTGATTTTGTTTTCGATTTTTATGTAAATAAATAAAATGCTTTTCACAATTTAAAAACCTGAGGTATAAGATTGTTGCAATGTCAAGGTTGACCCAGTACAAATGAATTCATGAAAAATGGAGATTGTAGGAATTGAAACTAGCCCCTTTATGTATGAAAATTTAATTATGTGATGATTTCAGTTGAACTTTATAATTTTCGAACACTTTTGTTATTAAGAAGTTATTAAGTGTGATATTAAGAATTGTAAGAATTAACGTTGTTGTAAAAAGAACTTTCTACAATAATTAGTGTTAGAAAAATGCTTCAATTTTCCCCATTCACTATTTTTGCACAGCAAAATTCGCTGTTTGATTTTTTTAACTTCATCGAACGCTGAGAGTTCTGAAGGTTGCAAACAGAAGTTTCGCTTAATTTGATTTTCCCCGACTTCAAATAGATAAAGAAATTAGAAAAGTACATTGATTGGTTTTGATAGTGTGCTTGAAGAAGTAAATCCAATACCCACCGAACACACAGGTTTGTGAATGGGTCGCTTGAAGCGTGCGGGGTTCTCATCACACGTTTGTGTGGAGCACAGGTCTTCGTCCTCGTCGGGCAATGGGTTGGGCCTGCAGGGGAATGGGCGATATTCAGTTGTTTGCACTTAAATCATGAGAACTTTGCATTATACCTCTTTTCAACCTCCGATTCGTATTCAAAATTAAACTATTCAAAATCAAACTCAGACCAAGCGCATATTGAGTCGAACACGTTTGAATTGAGACCATTCTCTTTCCAGTTGAAAGAATGGTCCTTCAAATTGAGACTAAATTAAAACAAATCGGAACGGATGGACCAAAAGGGAATATGGTAAATGCAAAAGTTTTGAACATTGATTAATTTACTGAACCATTAAAAATTAAAATGCAATTCGTACTTTTTATTACGTACATTTCTTTCCTCATCTTCTTCTCTTTTTTTAATTTAGCGATGAGTTTCTGAGGAAGATTACGATAAGAACGTCGAAAGTTGGCGTCAATACTTTGGACGCGACGTCACCTGGCTAACCAACATCGTTCACATGACTGGCTATGGAAGCCATCGAAGTCTCTTCTTCTTGATTTCGTTGGATTTTTCTGAATTTAAATGTCTAGTCACTATCTGAATGTGGTTAGTCTGAATGTAATAATTGTGGAAGGTCTCAATTTTAATTTTTTTGTCTAAATTTAATATTTTTTAGAAGTTAGTAAAGAGCAAAATTTTCTTAAATGCTCACCTTTACAAGAAGCGTTTTTACTTTTCTCGACTAAATTATTTTATTATTCTTTCAATAGAGCTACAAGTGGGTTCCAGCGTGTCATCTACCACCTCTAAGATCCTGGAAACTTTGAGAACAGCGGAGACGCCGTTGGTGGAAGAGGAGTCAGGCGTATCCCTCACGGACGGATTAATGTCTTCGGAAGCGTCAAGCCAAACAGTAAGGCCTCTTAGTGCAGTTCAAACGTTAATAAGAAATAAGGCGATTACTAAAATAAACTCTAACATTAAAAACTTCAAAAGCGTTAATAAAATCTTTAATATTCACCAATTTTGTTAAAACGTAATAATGGAGCCTTAATTAGAGAGCTAAAATAGAGAGCTTATTAATGTACCTCTTAGAAGAGTGGAGGTTAGGGAAAGTGGATGTCAGATAATGGAAGACTGGAGCGCAGTCTACATCTCTGTTTGAAGGTACTGTTTTGCCATTTGTCTACTTACTAACTGGTATCGAGTTTACGTCATTTACTTCACTGCCAATTAAGATTTTCATAAGGATTCATTACATCATACGCTTCCAACATTACATCGTTCTCTCTCTCTTTCACGTTTTGCCTCTTTATCTCTCTTTCTCTTCTCCTCTCTTTCTTTCTCTGCTGCCCATCTCATTCTTCCCCACTTCTTATTTCTTTTCGTCTCTTTCCTCTGCCCATTCTCTTCTTTCCCACTCTCCTTTCCTCTCTTTCTCTGCTTTCATTCATCTCCTTTCCTATCCTTTGCCTATCTCTCTCTGTGCTGTTCGATTTCTCTCACTCTCTCCTCTCCCACTCCCTCTCTCTCCCACTCCCTCTCTATCTCCCTCTTTGTGTGCCTCATTCTCTCGTTTTCCCACTATCTCTCTCTCCCTTTACCTCTCTCATTGTCTGCCTCATTATCTCTCTTTACACTATCTGTCTGTCTGTCTCTCTCTGTCTGCCTGTGTGTCTCGCAGGGTGGCGAGGAGCGGGGCCGTGCTGCACCTGCGGTGGGCGTGGTCCGTCTGCGGGATCTTCTCCTCGGAGAACGCGAGGTCCAGGCGCCGGTCGCGCGATCGTCGTCGCCCCGCCGCCGCCCCGCACTCGCAGCGCGCTCCTCTGCGCGCACGGCTCCTCTGCCCCACGGCGGCCGGGCCCCTCGCCCCCCTCGGCCCCCCGCCGCCCCCGGCTCCCGCGCCGCCCCCGGCGCCTCCTTGTCATCGGGCACCGACCCCGCGCACCTGCGCAGGCGGCACAGCCTCTCGCAATAATAGAAGAAAAAAGACACTGGTGCTACAACAGCGCATACTTTCTCGTATTGTTCCTAAATTTGCAATAATCGAAAATTCTGGTTGTTCAACGAAAACTAGACCCGCGCCATTCTTTTGAACGTACGTAGTTATATTCGTGGAAAACATTTGAAGAAAAATTTCGAGGGAGTTCGAGAAAGTTCATGCCCAAATTACGCAAAAAGTATTTTTTTCAAAAAAATGTGTCCTTGTTTATAAAGCTGATTCTTTGGGACAGACTTTGTCTAAGGAAAACAATCTCTAACTTCAATTTCGTAATTTTGAAATACAAAAATGTATGCAATTTTCGAAAATACAGAAAATTTTCTGACAATACGACTGGCACCATATTTTTTGCCGTCCCTTGGTACATACGAAGAGAATATTCTTTCTCTTTCTCTCCGTCTTTGAACAACATTAGTACCCCAACCTTTCACAGAATTTGCAGCCATTTTTATATTCCCCAATCTATTTGAAACATGTCGTGCCCTTTTAAATTTGAATTTTTTTTCGAAGATGATACTTTTCAACCCCTAAACATATCTGCAGATTTTTTTCAAAGCTCTCGCAACGTTTTTTTCTTGAGCAGATAAAAATACTTTTACAAAACTTGCACACGCTGCAATACTGATGACGGGGGTATTTTGTTAATGAACTGTTTACTTCAAATTGAAACTTTAGATAATGGCATGTGAAATGTACTGAAACAACTAGTTCATTTTGCGTAATTTTGAGTGAAATAGTAATAACTTTTGCATCAACAATATTTTCTCAATTTTGCAATTTTTTCTAAACATTTTTTACTGGAACTCGCGCGAATTTCATTAAGATAAAACATAGAATTTTAGAACATTGCAGATGTTGAAATTTCTTTTTAAAGGATCGAGAATGTTTTGCTGCCTCATTTGGTTGGTGTCATTCGTGCTAAACCTATGTATCCGAATTCGAACCCCATTGCGGGCAAAGTTTTGCGGGTTGGAAACACATTTCTGGATATTACGTAACCGTTACAAATTCTGTGAGTACCTAAATTATGTTGCAGCAACACTAGTTATAAGCTTTTTAAATGTGTTTCAATGTGTTAGATTGTATTGATCTTTTCCCTGGATTTTTTTCAGAAACTGGACACAATCTCCCGTACCTCTCCCTGCGCTCCAGGCCACTCGTCTCCATTAGGGAAGCGACATGGATGTCGATGTTTTCAAAATATCGATGTTTTCATAGACACTCTGATGTTTTAAACATTCACATATTAAAGCCGATGGACTTTTTAACACTTATAGTTTGTCCTAAATGTTTCGTGAATAACAATATTCCCGAATCAAATTTATCCCAAATTATCACATTTTGAAAAAATTAAACTATGAAATAATAGTTATATAATATTGTATTTAGTCAAAAACAGTATAAACTCTATATGACGTATGAGGGAGATCATCTGCGCACGTTTTCTTGAGTTCCACAATCCCTTCCTATCATTTTAGCTATAAATAGTTGAAAGTATGAGTAAAAGTTAAAAATAATTAAAAATGCACGAGATTAGCAACATTTGTATAACTAGACATTTTCGTTTCCGAGTTATAGAAAACTTTTTTAAATACAAACTGCAGATTTGCTTTTTCTGCATTCCTAACAAAATAGTAACTCGCTCTTACCTCTACTCCTACCACTACAAGCAAAAGAAGAGTTAAACAAAACATGCACATAACGAAGCTACATTTATGTCCAAAAGCAAAACAAGGGCCCACCTCAGCATTTGCTCAATGGATCGGGGAAACTGGACAAAAACCTGATCGAGATGGGGGAAGATGATGTACACGTAGTACATACATAAACAGACAGTGGTACCATCAACTACTTGTGTATGTGGTTGGTCCAAACAAATGTTGTTTGAACTACCTCCACTGAGCTTCTCTCGCGCCAAAGATGACCTCCAACACACTTGTATTTCCTACGTCCCTTTTCATATTTGCACATGGAGAGGACACACATTTAACTCTGTTTTCACTGACATCTTGTACACAAATTAATAAACTGGGCCACTGTCAAATTAATTTTTGTTGCGCATTAATTTACTGTTATATATTAATAAATCAGCTTTAACACATCGATGTTTAAAAACACGGATGGTTTTTGATCGTCGTAATATTACTAACGAGCATTAAGTTTTGAGCATCGATGTTTGTACTCATCCATCTAGTCTGTACTCACCCCGTCGCAAAACCGCCGCTTCGGCGCGCAGTTAGACCGCCCTTTGATGGTCCTGGAGGGCTCTTGTGACCGCTAAAGGGGCGCGACGTTCAGGGGTTGGTGATGGTTGATGGTTTTGGAGACTCGAAGGATTTTCGACTGTGCGAGTTGGTGGATCTTTCTCCCGGTGCCGTGCAACGGAGGAGAAAACCGCCGAGTGTTGGCGGAGGGTTGTTGAAGTAGCTGTGCTCTGTTAGGGAAATTTTAATAGCAGTTTCTGATGCGTGCAGAAATTGAAAGAAAGCTACGCAGCCTCTGGCCAAGAGGCGTCGAAGGTTTCTTTATATACCCAGGAATTCGGAGAAAATCCAAAACAATGATATAGTTTCGATTTTGAGAAAAATAAATTATAGTTTTATTTCATCTATTCTTGTAATGCGACACTGGGGTTAGGTGGACATCATCCATTCGCACTTCGACGCCGTTGATATCGCATCAGTTTGGACGTATTTACTCTTAGTTAATAACATTATACATAATTACGAATTTCCAATGTGTGTACGCAACTGATATTTTGTTCCTCTTCAATCTAGGTTTGTGTACAATTTACTCTGTCCTGTTGAAAGTCACAACTACAGGCCGAAACTCTATTGTATGATAAGTTTTATACCGTCTTCTTATAGTTGTATTTCTATTAAGTACAGGCCCCTTTAAAATTTTTAGACGGCGCATAATTTTTTCCTCAATTGTTTTATTTAATAACAATTCAAGTTTAATCTTACTGGATAAAATAGTCGTAAGATTAAATTTGAATTGTCTGCTGTGTAAAAACTTTAAAAGGATGTTTTTCAGAGAAGTACTATTATATGATAAAATTTGTGTACATTAATGTAATGTTAGTTGTCATCAGTCAACTATAAAGTATGTGAATATTCTTATGTATTTCTAAGGCCTACTGAATAATATGTTCGATATTAATTGATTGTACACAAAAGACATCTTCTTTCTAATAAGCGACGGTCTTAAGTGCTGTAGCCAGAATCGCTGTTTTGATTCTTCATACCGAAAAATCGTTTGATGACATAATGTCCACATCTCTGACTGTCCGTCCGTTCATCTGCGGTCAACGCTAGCGCCTAAACCGTTCAGCCGATTTTCTTCAGAATTGATATTTCTCAATAGATCTGAATGAACTCGTAGCTTTGGGAGTTTCAAGCGAATGTTATGATTTCGAGGGTTATTCATATGAAGCCTCAAACACATTTTCAAAATGTTCTCAAAAACGGCCCCAAATGTTTTGATTAAATTTGAATATGCTAAGGACGTTTAAGAGAATGGTATAGATATCATTTTTGCTGACTTCCTTGATTTTTCGAAATTTGCAAAAAATGTTTTAAATTTACAAAATTGAAGATAGAACTTTTTGTCTCAAGCAAAGTCTGTTGTACAAAATTACCTCTTTAAAAATTGTCATGTTAAAATTCTTAAAAAAGTGAGTAGTTTTTGCGTAACTTGCAATTGAAGATTACGAAAAATTATTCTCAAAAACCGACCACATACGCAATAAGGAACGGTAATAAATAAGGTGCTAAACCCATATTTAGGTGCTCGTTTTTTTTCTAAAATTGAAAAAAAAACAAAATTGAAGATATATTTGCCTGAGAAAGTGTGTTGTAGAAAATTAACTTTTTAAATAAATAAATTAAATAATATTTAGAATTAAAATTTTTAATAAATTAATTAATACGTGAATACCTGAACATTTTAAGTCATTAATACGTAACACAAATTATATAATTAAATAAATTAATAATTAATAAATTATCCTTTATGACTTTATATATAAGAATAGGAACACAAATGCTCAAATTTCTGGAGATTAACTTGGAAAGAGGTAGACAGGCACAAGGCTTTGCAAATCAAGTAGCAGCAGGAAAGAAAATTGACGTTTTAATAGTCAGCGAGATACAACGGATGATGTAACGTGGTATCAGAACTCTTCAAGTAGAGCGGGCATCATAATGTGTAATACGAGTAAGAAGCTCGACATGAAAGCCTTCAAGAAGACGAGGTTTGGATTCGTTTGTCAGGAGATAAGTGGCGTAAGAATTTATAGCTTTTATTTCTCTCCAAATGACAGTTTAGAGAATTTTTTAGAGAACACTGAACATCTTGTTTTAAGCCTGAAGACGCCGAAAGAGGAAGTGCTTGTTGCGAGAGATTTTAATGGTAAATCTCGGGAGTTGGGTGAGTCGAGTGCAGACAGGAGAGGAAATATAGTCTGTGGCTTTGTTGCCAGAAACGATCTGATTATCAACCATATGGGGTAGTAAGCATACTTTCCATCGTGGAAATGCCTTGTCAATCCTGGACATAACCATGTGCTCGCCAAAGTTAGCGGACCGTGTTTTGATTGGGTGCTAGATATGGAGACTCTCAGTGACCAGAATTACATCAAATTCTCGGTGGCCACCTAGAAGGGACAGAAGCCAGACCTGGGGAAGAAAAAAAGGATGGAACAGAAGGAAACTAAATAGGGACAAATTTAAAAACTCATTGGAGGAATTCCGACTCCTCCAGGAACTGGAATGAGAAACACACTCATCACCGAAGAGAGCAGCAAAAGATGACAGGAAGCAGATAGTAATGGAAGAGGAGAACCAAAGTACTGGTGG